GAAACATCAATCATAGGCTGAGGTCACGGCGGGTTCGTTCACGCTCGCTCAAGGCTATTCTATTCATTTCCACATCAGGATTGGACGTACTTAATGCCATTCACTCAGCAGTCACGTGACGGAACAGCCTAAGTATATTTCAAGCAGCTCCAGTTATTCCAAAGCCTAGTCAACCATGGCCGCGTTACTGGGTGAGTGGCAATGTGTAGAAAGCGATGGAATGGATATGGTGCTTGCTGCGTTTGGTAAGTGGAATGACGGACAGTGCTCCATCGTCACACTCATCTAGGACAACACCAGAGCTTGCGTGATCAACTGGATTATTTGCATTCACACCTGACAATCGATTTGGTGGAGGATGAACTTTACATCGGAGAAGAAATTGATGGAAAACATACGGAACATACTTTCGTTCTTGGACAGGAACTGGAGGAGCTCACTTTAGACGGGCGAATAGTACGGGTACGTAAAAGCAGTTTTCATCTAGACTTCCGTTGTATTAAGAATTTATCAAACTTTTATTCTACGTTGAATGTTTGATCCGTTTTGCCCACCGTCATGCCACAACTGTCAGTCTGGGGTTTTTTCAATACACAGTCTTTTAGGTGGGAAAGATGCACTATCCAACACGTGAGCTACAAAAAAAAAAAAAAGGAGATAGCAGAACAGGACACAACAGAACTTAATACTCACATTGCCATCTTCCGCATTCAGCTAAGAGCCTTCACGACGGGATTACTTTGTAGGGAGGTTTGTAATTAGACTCTATTCCTGATGTTTCAACGGCTTCTGGTTAAGCTTGAACCATCTTAATAGTGAACGATAGTCAGATAACGAAAGGATGGACTGTTTGGTTTTATTCCAACCTATTTGAGTAGCATATAACAGCCTTCAACTTATGTGTTGCATATACTCCGGTTGAATTCGCCTCATGGGAAATGATCCATAGTTTGGTTTGGATATGCTCAAATAAGAACCTTAAGCTGTGGGAGCTCCCAAGGTCATCCGTTCCTCTTGACGTTCTCCAATGTCGTTCAACCTACAACCTCCGAATGTCCTTCATGAATCAATCAAAGTAGTTCTTCAGTGATTTTCTGATTGACTTCAGCTTGTCGGTGTTTGTTAAAAGGCTGCACAAAGCTATTGATTTTCTGGACCGATACATTTCTGGTTGAGCGACTTCCTTCGGCATTCTAACGAAGGACGTGCTTTCATACGTTTTAGTCAATTATACAGGATGTTTGGCCGCAAATATGACCACAGATCTGTGGGTACCCTCTACAGTCCTTCCAAGGCAGAGATGTTGTCACGCCTCATATGTTTTTCCTCTCTTTGCATGTATACTCATGAGCGGGACAGCATTTCCAGCACACACCCGGAAGGAAGCTATGATGCAATAGGTCGAATCAAAATGTGTGAAAGATAGAAAGAGACTACTTCAGAAAATATCCTGATCAAACGTGTTTATTTTATCCGACTTAACCAAGTGACTTGTAGCCATCAGGGTAGAGGCATGTCAAACCTTAAAACGTTCTACTTTGTGGTTTCGGCTTTGTGAACTGCCCCCTTTTTTCCTTCAACCGCGCCAATAACAAATTCTTGCGTTTAGACCGTAGACAATATTTCTGATTGTGTGAGGTGTGTCGATACGCTCACTTGAATCTGGGCTGCTCATTTAGTCTAGCTAGCTAAAGGATCTTTTCCATGCCTATGCTTTTTCAACGCGAAGGAACTCGGGGCAAGTAATGGACACGCCCAACTCTCAAATGCAAACTGAGAAAGTCTTCTGCATTTGAGTCACTTTTTGTCTGGCTCTACGCCTCCCACGGCAGCTTTCCTCTCGCAACGGCATAGGGAATTTGAGGTAAACTTCTGTTTTTTTTGAAACCTAATCCAAAGGGATGAAGCTAGAAATTGTTCAGACTTATTGGTCATTCAAGGTGTGCTGCAATACACTTCGACGGGCGATTCTTCCACAGGATAAACCTGTTTCATATGCTGTTCGTCATTTGATTCAAATCGGTCATTGATTTTTGCGCGTCCACAATGTAACTCATCACGGAGTGCTAATCTGCGCATGCCACGAAAGGCAGTTCATGGTTGTATTAACCACCTGGACAAAACCGACCGTTGACTGCCCTAGATGACTTCATTTGAATATTCTAGTTTGAACGACGGCGGTTCTAACTACAAAAAGCGGTGAGCTTAATAGAGCCAAGCCAAGGCTCTCGGAAGTAAATTTCATGGAACTTCACTTAGATGGCTTTGTCAAGAGCTTTTGCATGTCGGGGAAAATTTGCTGAAATTAATGAGCTTGAACAAGAATAGGTAGAATAGGTTGAAGAAGGAGATACAAGAAGGAGATACAAGCGGTTGGCCTGTCTGCAGTCGAAATGTAACCCGCGAGTAGTGTATGAACAGTACGTGGAATGCATAAGTGAGCGCCACTGAACTCCTTTCGTATGCTACCAACGTCAGATGATGTTGGTCAATAAGTAAACTGTCCCAATACATTCAGCATTTCGAGCGAATGCGACGGGCTACGTGGTATTTCACACATAGTTCTCCGGACACCCACGTCTTTGGTCTAGGTCACTCGGCACTGGAAAAATCCGGGGCAAATCTACCTATTTTGAAAGACCACCAATAAACAGTTTGCAGCTGCTTGGTGTCCTGTTATTCGCACAATCCCTCGCCTGGTGTTTGTCCCCATCAGGTGAAGGCCATCCGAGTAGTTGTCAGCGCTATTTTTACCTACTAGTGGACACTGTGCTTCATCACCCGTCCAAACCAAATTCGAGTCGCTTCTATAGCAAGTTTAATATCATCGAATTATAACTGACGGCTTCGAACTGATCGCAGTTCTTATTGTGCTGATTTTGACTACTACTGTAACGATGATACTACTGACGGGGAGGCACGCGAGTAGTGTGTGTTGTTCTTGGAATTTCGCTTTGCGTCTTTTGAAAGGGGAAGATCTTTTGCGGAATTTGTGGAGTCGCTTTGTAAGATTTGCTTGGATTTGAGCGAGGAATGATTGGGGTTAATGAAGATCCAGGACAGTTCAAGGAAACGCGTTCAGGAGAAGATGGATGTCCAGTTTTTTGTAAATAAGATGCAAATGAGAGTTTCGAATCCCTGTCCAGTAGTCTGTAACCGGTCAGTTGGCACTTTCTAATAAATAACTCTGCAGCGAAGGCCTTCTTCCTTTGACTATTTCACTATCATTCATTTTTGAAACGCATGGTCACAAACATAAAAACTGAATGCAAGTTGCGAATGCGAAAGGGTAACAGGGAATATGAGATAAGATAGAGAAACGTCTCATCACAGGGAAGATGTAGTAGCTACCTTTTAGACTTTTTCTACCTTTCTGGATGTGTCAGGCTGTCTGAAAAATAAATGGTGAAAAATGAAGCATAGACTGCCTGTTGATGTTAAGCGTTTGAACTGTGCAACCAGCACGCTTGTGTTGGTTGACTAGACCATTGTTTGCCTTTTCCGCCGTTTCTTCGTTACTTTTGGTCCACTGTTTTATGTGTGTAGTACATACTCTTTATAAAGTGTATCATTTCAGCCATATATCCTTGCTGTGTTGCTAAGCTGAAGGCGAGTTTACAAACTGTAAGAAAGCGTGTATTAGCAAAGTATCAATATTGTACCGGGAAAAATTAGTTATTCCAACTGTTTCATTGTTTATAGTTTGTTTATCGGCTTCACTTTGACAGGAAGTTAGGCCTTGTGTTGACGCCGTGTACTTGTTGCAAGTATTGTATTATCACAGGATGAAAACGTGGCATCTAGGACGTTTATGTCGACTGTCACGCATAGCAACTTTACCAGTTATGCCAAACGATCGCATGATGTGCAGTCTGGGTATCTAACACAACTTTCGGGAGCTAATTGATAAACCGGAAGCCGATTTAACGGAGTTCAGTTGGACCAAATGCAACCTAACCCAATGAACGTGTCTAACTTGAGCTCTGAATCGAAAAAGTAGGCCTTAAAACGTAGTTTTTCGAACTTGTAAGTCTTGCTGAGTAGCGTTTTATTTTTATATTGAAATATCATTCTCTTTGGGCTTTTTTCCGATCACCAGTGATGAAGTTTGTGTACCCCACAGGCACCTCTGAAATACATTACCATACTCAGTAAAAATACTACAGAGGAGGATGCTTTAATGGAGAATGGGTTTGAATTAGGACAGTGGACTCAGAAAGCATTGAGGTTTTTTCAAACACAGTGAAATACATAAGACCAAGTAGCGCGCATATTTAGAGCAATATCATTGGGACAACTTGCTCCTGGAACAACCCAAAGCTCCTTGTTTAGTTCAACATCACTATCTGAAGTTCTACATACCAAAGTTAAAAGTTGGTTCGAGTGCGGCCTTACGTTCTACTTGAAACTGAATTGCGAGACTCACGTGGAAACTAGCTAAAACTCTCGTTTATTATGTTTCTAAGCGGTTCGGTACAATTTGGGTTCAAGTAGATCATAAAGTCGACTGAAAATCGGGAACTGCACCTACCTGATGAGCACCAAGAAGGGCGAAACCGGTCATGGGCTGTCGAAGAGTTTTCAGCAACCCTGTGAGTGGTGTATTACGTCTATACATGTATCGCGATATCTCAAATATCGTAGCAGCTGAAACATGAGACGGTCTTGTGTAGCCTATTCAGTTACTTAGACAAATCATAAACAAGAGTATCAGCTGGGTTCTAGGTTAGTCACTCGCAAAACCAGATGTGTTTGAATGTATTTCATTGATTAAAGCATATGTGCGCAGCTTCGATCGATACAGGAAACCTGCGCAAGGCTTCATTCAGAGCGCATTGGCGTTCTATGGAATGGGTGATAATAGAAGCAGCCGATGGTTTCTAAGCTCCGTGTTCCAAACCTTCAAGACGTCTTCATGGGCTATCTCAGCGAGCTGATTGGTACCCTCAGTTTTCACCCTCCATTAACACCGCTGCATTTTCTACAGTATTGTTCTGCACCGAACATTATAGTATATATATACTGAGCTTTTTCATTATTCCGAACACTGTTTTCGCTTTGTCTGTACTTGTTGTAGACCGTATTTATACTCGAATCGGAAAGGCTGTTGCGTCAGATCCAACGTCATGGATTCTCAGAAACTGTGATAACTCGGGAAGTGAAAGATGGTGTACTCACAGCGGTAGGTTCTGGGAATCTGTTTTCACTTTGTTGTCCAGGGACAATTAGCTATCCAGAGAACTTTGTCATCAAAATGGGTATCAAAAGTTTTTTTTAAAATTGTGTTCTTTGAAAAGGTAATTGATTAGAACAATAGTCTGCATGCTTTACGCATACAGCCCACGCCACTAGAGCCTATTTCTAACCCTCCTGTTGCTTTTGTAATCAATTAATTGAGAACTGCATTTATTAAGGCTTTCAATTTTTAGCCCCATATTCATACCTTTATATAGGAGTAGGCTGAATGTATTGTTATCATTAATTTCAGTCACTTTCGAAATGCAAACGTGACGGTTCCGGTTTCGAAGCCTCACGAACCAGATATTTTGGGTGACTTCACACTAATGATACTGATAGATATCCACTGTTAGTTCATTAGACAAAGTTCGTCAGGCGAACTGTGGCCACATAAATGTGGCGAGCAGCAAGTGTCTTTGGTACCTCAGACAGTAGAGCACCTGTCGTTCAAGCTGCTCCTCGTTAGTTCACTTCCGTCCCCAGATGTGCTTTTCTGTTTATTCTGCGTGTCAGTTTCAGTTTCATGTTCCAAGGTATCCAGGTGTCACCGCATTTGTCCACAGGTATACTTCTTCTCTGAATTTGGTCGACCATATTAAGCCTGCCTGCGGATCCCGTGTGTTCCCACTCGACCACTTAAAAAGGTTGTTAAACACTACACGTTCCACATCCCCGGAAACCTACGTGTTTATCACCCATTGCGCTCGCTAGCCATCTGAAGGTCATTCGAGCCTTGCCTGTCGTACCTTTACGCTGACCCGTGGACAGAGAGAAATGTCGGTATCATATACATGCTTAGCCAGAACGTAAATAGTGATCAAAAAATCGTAAAAAAAATCGTTCAGCTGTAGCACCGTTTCGGAGCCTAACTACCATGCCACACGAATGAGACACGAGGGCTGGGATACTGTCAGGTCGTCTAAGCCTAGACAGGGGAAGTCGAGAGACAGAGGTCGGGTTCGAAACACGGACCTTCCGGTCGGTAAATTCGCGCTCCAACCACTTGGTCCATCTCGCCCCTATAAAGTGATCAGTCTTTATTGGTCATCTGTCTTCAAAACACCCATATCTGTGACTCACAGTATCATCGGACACAGCTTAATAACGCGGTTTATCACAAATATGTGTACACGTATGCGTATACGTACTATAAGTTACTGATGTAAGCCGAGGTAAATTCACTTCAATTCCTAAGACAGAAACTATGCCCCTACTGCACCTATAGTGCCTGTCTATCAGCAACAGGTGGCATCCGGAGAAGTGCGGTATTACAGTGAAACACAGCGTACCCACTGTTGGTGCACAGCGCAGTGCCATCGTCCTTAGACTGGAAACAAGTTTGTGTGAACTCGCCCATCGGTGTTATACCTTCGGGTTCGAATCCGATCCACGGGCCCCCACACAATGGAAGATCCGGATTCACATAAACCACTTGTTTCCCGAACCATGAGTAGTTGCTCAGTGGTCCGGCTACTGTTGACAGACAAGTGTATTACTATCATGCCGCTAGCGCAGTGGATGATTGTATGCTGTTTAAAGCACGGCTAGCGCTGGTTTTTAAAATACTTGCAGTAGAAAGAGGATGACGTAGTTGTCAAGTGAACCGAACACCAGGCAGCACTTTGGTATATATCCATTTTAACTTGACAACCGCTTGCCAAGTTTCAGTTAAATGTGTCACTTACTAACGGTTTATTTAAGTTGTACCGGTTCCATATGTGATGATACGAGGAAAAGTGAGAGAGAATTCTGATCTTGTAGACAGCATCCGTTCTGGTCCAAAATATAGAGTTTATAGGTCAAATTGGATTGGGCAACGCTAAAATAGCATATTCAACTGCTAGCGTATGGGTTTATATGTCTATGAATTTAACTGAGGCAGAAATACCCATAACGACTTTCGCTGAGATGGTCAACCACAGTATGTGAAATCAAGTCCTCAGAAGCCTTTAGCAAATGAGGTAAGCGAGTAAAGCAAAGCGAAGTAAAGTGTTGTGTTGTTACAGTGTGGTGGCAAATATCCACACCACCGTAACAAAAGAATTAAAATACCTCGCCAATTTTTTTAAAAAAAGATTAGGTGCTGTTTGGGGTGGGAACTGGTCTCACGTGACGACCTTCGGGCTCATCTTGCACAGGTGCTTTCAAACTGTGAAAAAATAATTGTGGTCGAGGGGCTTTCAGCAACCTTATGAGTAGTGCATTACTTTACTAAAATCAGTAGAAACCTCTGGGAGGAGGGTCAGTTTCTGGGACACTGAATCAAGAAAGGGTGTATTCTTACTCTGATATGGCTCATCAGGTGAGCACAAATATACCTTCAGCTTGAATAGGACCTTCGGTCTGCTGGCCACAATTTAACAGCCAGTGAATTTGACTTGAGAGAGAAACTCTATTGATGCTGATGCTTGGATTTTTTCGCGAGCGCTCAGGCTGTCTTTTGCAAGTTGTCAAACGCCAAACATCAAAGAGCTCTCCAAGCTCCAAAACGAATATACAACTCCGTTCCATTTGTCACCCCTATTTTCTTCGTCTTTTTAGGTTGTACGCACACCAGAAGCGACCGCAATACTGAAATTCCACCGTATTGGGAATCCAAAGCGACGACCAACAATCAGACGATCGAATCCGGACGTTCTCAAACCACCTTTAACGCCAAACTGATTTTGCAGATTCGAAGCATATACTCGTTCCCCCGCGGAACTGACGGGAATTAGTTGTTAGCCTACTGGATTTGTTTTGCCCAGACCGATTATGTCCCATTTCCTAAACATAATATGCTCTTCTCACCGAATTTTGGCAGCCACACTTGGAACACACTTTTCATTTTTATTTACATGGGTCTGTCACAAGTGAAGTCCAGCTGAGTTGCAGGAATTCAAACTGCTACACAGTGTTCTGTTCTCAGTGGCTTTGGCGCAGGGCAGAAGCAATCGTTTGTCCCTTAAACTTCCTCTGTATGGGACTTAATTCCCAGCACGCCGGGAGGGGGGGGGGGGGTTCGGAGGATTTTTCTGTGTCGTCACATTTTCCGAACAGACCCTCACACTTCATGTCGCTTCATGTCAGCCTTATATCGGTGGGTTACTCCAGTGTTTGAGAGCTTGATCTACTTGGTGACCGGCCTAGACTTGAGACTTTGTTGATTTCTTATTTTGATTTCCGCTTTCTTAGCATGCTTTCGATCGGAATTCCTCATGATATTTGATTTACGACGGCTGATGCGTAACTCAGACTGTTCGGCGCTGTGTTACGTGGTGCAACTGTGCATTTGTCTTTCGTCATAACCTGCGCGCAGGTGTACAGATAACTTATAACCACCCTTTGTGGACAGTGTATGGGTAAGAATGCCAGGTTGGGTATTCTCGCTGGTTGCATACTGTAGTCTAAGGACGTATGAGCCACGAAGAACGCCGAATCTAACCAAGATGTACTAAACATGTCTTGCACTAGTCTGTAGGACGTAGACGCTGCAGCTAAAGTTTGCCAACCGATGGCTATAACCGATGCACTGTATGCACTTTTCTGTTAGCTTGGTTACAACGAAGTGCAACAGCTACTTCAAGCTCCAGCACTGAAGGAACCTGTGGCCAGATGAAGCACTGTCATGAATTCGACGTTGTCCGAAAAGGTCTGAAGCCGAAAAATTGACACTTTTTCTATTTAAAACCTTTAGGAAGCGGAACGACAGTGACGACTTATTTTCGGGGAGCTGGTCGCTGTTTTATGCACGGACCAACAAATATTTTCTAATAGAAGAGTTGTCTGGTCAGACCGCAAGTACTAGTATTCCTTGGCTTACATTATATATATATATATGTATATATGATTTGAACATTTTGGTACCATTTTCTTTGAGAAATATCGTATCCTCACGATTGGACACCTTCGTAAGTTACTACTGAAACGACTACTTTCCAAGTAGCGAAATTATCGACAGTTACTCAAAGCTAGACAGTTTCTCTGTGGTGATCATGATTGCACAAGAGACATTACATTTGGACTTTTTGTCGGAAGTTCTTCACAACATAACTCCTGTGGTTATCAAAATTGGGTGCTTTCGATTTTTTCGAGAGTGCGGCATCACATAAACAATTATATACAGCTTTGGGGAAAGTTGGGGTGGTCAGATGTATTTGGACGTTTGGAATGCAGTAGCCAATTTCAGCAAAAAAAACTCACGTATCAAGGATCTTTCATGTAACTCATGAGAAAAACCTAAGAATTCACCCCTGTAGTCAGGTCACACAGGGTCTGTATAGCAAAACGGCGCTACTACTGGTGTTTTCTTGATGGACGTTCAAAATAGTCCGAAAGGACTAAAGCGACATGGGCTCTAAGCTATTACGAAGACACTTGGCGTCACTTGGTGCTAAGATGATGAGTTAGGCCACAATGAAGGATGTGCACTCTACAGCAAATTTTTCACTGAGTATTTTGATGGAGAGCAGATAGAGCGACCTGATCCTTCTCGTCGAGAGTTCAAGAAGCCTCTCTGAAGAGTTATTTTGCTCCGACAATGCCAAATCAACGTTTGGTGACTTGGGATTGAGTGTTTCATACCAGCCGTTTGGTTGAGGATTCTGAATGTCTTGCTATCCAAGACTTGGTGCCTGGAATTTCTCTTGTTCTATCATATCTGATATCGACTCTGTTGTGGTGATGTCACTCTCGGCCCCTTATTCGATGCGTACAGCCGGACAGGGAAACAAATGCTACTGCCCCATTCAACATCTTCCTTCATTAGTACCACATATATCCTCTCATGCTGCATCTGATGACCACTGTCTTGTGTAATAGTAGGTACTGGTGGAAGGAGGGCCTTCGCTGCAAAGTTAGTTATTAGAAAATGCCAAGTGACCAGTTATAGAGATTGGACAGGGAAGCAAAACTCTCATATGCATCTTTACGAAACTGAATATCAAACTTCTCCTTGAACGCATCTTTCTGGACTTTTCTGGATATTCATTCACTGCCGCTCAAGTCCAAACAAATTCTACAAAGCGACTCCACAAATTCCGTAATAGATCTCACTTTTCAAGAGACGCAAAGCGGATTTACAAGAAAACATACTACTCGCATGCTCCCCCATCAGTAGCATCACCGTTACACCGGTAGCTATTGCTGGTATACTGCTCTCCAAAATGATGAAAGTGGAAAGAATGTGCCGGAACACCTCGTATTCTTGCACCAACGACCTGTTTTTTTAAGAGATCCGATGGGCGACTCAACCTTCTTCGCGATCAATATTACCGGTCTAGTTACTTCTCAAAAATGTTTCTGCAGGTATCAAATTGTTGAATTTTACTTGTAGGTTTTCTGCTACTGGAGCTAAATTTTGGGACCGGAAAGGCTTACCAGGTAGGATTGCAGCCGTGGGAACGAACCTTCACAAATGCAGCACTCGGATGCTGCAGATGTCAGATAAATCTGCCAACTTGAAGAGAAGCAACACTGCTGAAATTGTCTACAAATAAACCCAAGAATGGAACAGATGTCTCGAGAATACTTTTTCCCAAGTCCACGGTCTTACCCCGCATATTGTTAGGTGAGGGATGTCGGGGACACCCGAGTTAGTATGCATTCCATATCCCATGATTGGCAGTCAGTGTCTATCCAACTTGCCATTCTCAAAGAGAGGCAGGTACACAGCATACACGCTGGAGCATCTATTATTACATGGGTGAGAAGTCCGCGGATTGGTTGGTTGATTGCTGCAACATGCAGCTGATCCTGTAGGTGACCTTCTTCCCCAGGCTTCCTTTTTAAATTGAGAATACTTAGGATTGATTACACGGAGATAGCTGTTGAAAGAGTACCTATTTTCTTCCACAGGTCAGTGAATTATGCCTCAAGGGTGTACTTATATTGCACATGGGGGCGAGGATCTACGTCACCTTTACTCACCAGGTACTGCTCAAACCACATAGTTAGGATTACAAACTTAGTTATGCGTAAAATGCTAAAAAAACTGGTATATGGATGGAAATGTTGATTTATACTAGCACCGAGGGTTCCACGCTTGATTTATTGCCAGATTTCGATGACAGACTCACTTATCTCACGCGGTTCAGTCCAGGTGTGCCCGCTGGTACACTACTGAAGTTCAGTTTCCATCGAACATTGAGTTATTTCGTTCTTGCCTCATAATTCACACCAGGTGCTTTCGTACTACGTGATTGGCTTCTTTGTGAAAGTGGTTGCATATAGCACAAACCATGCTAACCTTACAAAGCGAGTTGTTAACCCTAGCGTAATTTCCCAGGACCTCAAACAAACACTTTTTTCATCAGGGGTGAAACTTATCTAATCCAAAATAGGTGTACATCTATATCACTTTGTAATACGCGTAAAGAAAACTCGGTCCAGGAACGCAGGGTTGATTGAATAAGCCATCAGATTTTGGCCGCTTCCAGGGGTCGTGGGCACATTCTAGCCTCCACTCTAGTCATTGGCTGTTTGAAGCATCTTACATTCAACCCCTCAAAAACGGCATCTTTTCCAGTGCCTATAAATGGGCTCTGTTCGCGTGGGTAGGGGGCTTAAAACTTCAAAAATATACGGCTTACGAGGTATTGTCACATGATGATGTGGACGAAACCACCAGATTCATGTTTATTTAGTTCCTATTTATCCAATTCGCGCAAGCCCCCTACGAGGAACATTTAAAGCCACAAAATTTTACCCTTAATGGAAGGACTGTACGCGACTATCGATTTTTAATTGGTCTCTTGATTAAGACAAACGAGGGAGTCTCGTGGCCTTTGTCGACCATTTCCTCACCCACACATCTTTCTCCTGACAAGATTCCACATTATATTGGTCCTGTTTTAGAGTCCATCGCTCGAACCCACATGTCAACGTCTTGAAGCTGTGAGCTATGTGCTCATTGTTTCAACAAATGGAGCGGTGGAGTTAGAGAGCAACTACAGTTGTGCACTGGACTAGGTTAGCTTGTCGGAGCATCGAAAGTATGGGAAGTCGCATTCCTGGAGTGATTCTCACTAAAATTCTTCATATACATTTCTGGATCCTTGATGCTCTGTAACTAAGCCTTGGTTTCATGGTCCGCTCGCAAGATAATACGTTACCCTTAAAGATAAATTATACATTGATTGAGGAAAACCAGAGCTAATGTTTCTTTCCAGACAATGTAGGGGTTCCTATCGGCTTGGTTCAGAATTCAACATCCGTTTTTCACGTGTTTGACACAGTCTGTGCCACGTTGGGTCCGTTTTGCATCGATTTACCTGTCGCTGGTACCTATGTTGAGGATGACCATTGAAGGTATCTGGAAAGTTCAGGACTGCCGCCACGTTCGACGCCCGATGTAATCCTCCAAGTTTTTATCTCTATTCCACATCCAGTTCTTAATTTTTCGCTGGTAAGTCAGTCAGGGCGACGGCGAATCCAAGTCAACCTCGCACCTGCCTCCTATAGTGTGACACTGGCCATCAGAATTTCCCTACTTCACCAGCCAGACTAGTTTTGCTCCGACCTGCTCAGTTTTTCCGGTCTGACTATGCCTGCTTGGCACAGCTGCTTCCAGAAAGCGGTGTATTTTTTGTTCTGTCTTCCGCCCTACATCTGGTCCGAAAAGTATAAATTTTAGCAAGCTTACCACAATGACCACCTATGAAGATCAGGCAAATGTATGGGTTCCTATCTCACGCAATCTCCGTCTGTGTACCCAGAAAAGGCACGCTGTAACTTTCATAATTTGATCAAGTGACCTCTGGCTAGGCAGGCCAATCAGTCCTGATGAAAACGTTTTCAGGCTTGGACTCTCTAGATTGTCTCTCCGTGTCGTTCAATTAGCGAGTTTCCGTAAACCTTAGGTTCTGCTTGAAACCAAATTGCACCAAATTGCTTAGGAACATCATAAACGAGAGATTCAGCTAGCTTCCAGGTGAGTCTCTCGGAAGAACGAATTTGTTTGCAAATGAGTATATTTCGATAATTTCGCGCAATTTAGTTACAAGTAGAACATAAGGTTGACGGAACTGCACCTACCTGATGAGCCCCAAGAACGGCGAAACCGGTCGTGGGCTGTCAAAGAATTTTCAGCAACCTTATGAGTAGTGCACTATGAATATTCATTTGTTCTAAATTTACGTACAACTCGCATGCATAGGTTAAACACCCGAATGAGGACAGTGGACTAGCCAGTGAAGATGCTTTCAATGGGCAGAGGTCAGTGAAGTTAAACTGGCCAAAACCTATAGGATTTTCTAGGAGCGTGGGGTATGTGGCTGGATTACTTCCGAATATTGT